AGCTGTTCCTTCTCCATCGATGGAGTCTTGTAGTCCAAATACCAAGTCCATACTAATGGACTGCCATAACCCCGAGGTACAGGCAAACTCGACAAAGGCGCAGCCATACTAGGCGAGGGCTTCACCCTTTGACACGTTTCACACGTGCGTACATATGTACCAACCCATTTATACAACTTGGGCCACCAGGAATAGGTGCTCATCAAGCTGTAGGTCTTCTCACGACCTAAATGACCACCACGTGGTGTATCATGAGCTTCATAAAGTATCTGATACTTGAGGTCCTCATCATGAGGCATCGCAACAAGAGACTGGTCATCCGACCCTGTACTATAGTACAACAGACCATCAGTCAGTGCATAACGATGTAATCTCGCACGATTACGTGGTGAAAACTTCACCTTAGTTTTCAAACTCTGCGCTACCCAGCGCCTGCATAAGGGTAACACATGCCTCATCGCGTGCATACGTCACACAGATACGATCCGTTACTGACGAACTCACAACAGTGAGATGAGCAAGCTCATAGTCAGGTCTACGCGATAACGCGTCAGCCAAAACATTCTGTTTTCAGGGCTTATACTTCACCTCAAAGGTCCGCGAAAAAGGAGAGCCAACGAGCCATTTTCTGCGAGAGATGAGGCGACTGTGTCGCTGTGCGTAACGACGCATGATCAGTATAGATCACAAACGGCTTTGAGCCCAACAGGTGTACCCTGAACTAAACAAGGGCATACTTCATCGCAAGTAGCTCCTTGTCATGAGCTGGCTAGTTCTTCTCTGCAGCTTTAAGCTGACGAGACTCAAACGCGATGGCGCGTTCTCGACCCTCAGAGTTAACTTGCAAAAGTTCACTGCCAATGGCAAAGTCCGAAGCGTCACATGCGACGCAAAACGGGCGATCACGATCAGGCAGGGCCAGAATTGGCGCCTGCAGGAGACTCTCCTTAATGAATCGAGAAGTCTCGTGGTGTTTGGTGTTCCAACACCATTCCACATCCTTTTTAAGTAGATTCGACAATGGCCTAGCCACCTCCGCATAGTTTTGGCTACAATTGTGCAAGTGATTTGCCCAACCCAACCACTTGCGGAGGTCCTTCTGGTTCCTCGGAACCGGTCAATCCACTATGGCTTTGACCTTAACAGGGTCTGCCCGGATTCCTCGCTTCCCAATGAAGCATCCCGAAAGGGAATCTCTTCCGCACCAAAGATGCAATTGTCAATATTGGCATATAACTTATGCATCCTCATGCAACCGATCACAGCTCGCAGGTGCTCGATGTGATTCTCCACATCAGTCTATCCATTTTCGGCTCGACTATGAACGAATATATCGTCAAAGTATGCCTGTGCATACGCCCTCTGGGGCCGAAACCACTGCGTCACTAGACAATTAAACGTTGCAGGTGCGTTAGATAGCCCTTGGGGCATCACTAACCACTCCCAGAGCATACCACTCGGAGTGCTGACCACTGTCAGCGGGATATCACTAGCTCTCATGAGCAGTTGATAATATCCATCGACTAAGTCGAGAGCTGTACATCGTAGAACCCACCATATTGTTCTGAAGAACATCCTTGCGAGGAATTGGTGTTTGAGCCGGGATAGTGGCTGCATTCAGCTTATTGTAAGCATGCACTATTCGCCGCTTACCATTAGGCTTCCTCACGCAAAACGTGGGCGTAGAGTGAGGAGACTTACTCTCACTCACCATGCAAGCCGCGTGCTTCTCACGAAAGAACTCGTCAATGACGTCACATAGTTGTCGTGGCAGCGGCCACTGTCGCGTCACACAATATTTGGTTCCTGGAACCAAGTCAATCTCGTGACGTACACCTCTATCCGGAGGTTACACTGTAGGAGGTTCTCTGGAGACAACATCTCCATATTCCTTCAACAAAGGAAAGTAAAGATCCAAAGGATCCTTCAGGATCTGCTATTCACTACGCGCATTCAGCGCCTTCTTGGTATCCTCAAGGACTGCTTTATCCAAAAGCGATGAGGAGTTCAACTCATCCTCAGGTCGTATAACGACCACTTCGGCGATGGCGCCTGCCTGTAAGGCACTGTCAAACTCGGCAAAGGACAACTCATCCAGCTCTAAGAGAGCACTTACTTTGGGTGTAGCCGACTCTTCAACATCCCCACTCAAACCATTGACGAGTGTATATAGCTGTTCGCTATCACCGTCACTCACGATATCCTCATCGCTACTCATGATGCTCTCAGCATCCGACGCATCAGCGTTCACAGGTGTACACGTCAAGGTCAAAGACCACTTCGTTTACTGACTTCACTTTACCCTCTTGGTCAATGCCTCGCCATGAGGTGTTCACACCTCGTTGTCCTCAAAGACCACTTCATTTACTGACTACACCCCACCGTCTTGGGCCAGTACCTCGTCACTAGGTGCTTGCACCTTGTTATCCTTAAAGATAACATCCATTTATGACTTCACCCGACCATCTTGGGCCAGTACCTCGTCGTTAGGTGCATGCACCTCGTTGAACTCAAAGGTAACATCCATTTTTGACTTCACACGGCCCTCCAGGGTCAGTTCCTCGTCACTCATGTCACTTGGGCTCGTGTCCTGACATCTTGGCTTGCAGCCACTAACACCACTCACGGTTTTTAATGATGTAACATCATTCCCATGACACATGTTATATGTCCCATCTAGTGGGATCTGAGCCACACTATCGACAGTCATTGGGCCTCGCCCAGGACATTGTCCTCGACACTTACAGTGTCTACAAAGTCGGATATTCCGACATCCAACATATTGACCGACTCGGTCCAATATCCGCGCCAAAAGCGCTTTTGCTTCCTATCAGAGGTGGGTTCATGATTCTCCAGAGACCCACCAGGAGCATTGCGCGCTGCGCCTAAGATCTTCTACCTCCAATCAATCCATGGCTCATGACGTTCTAGCCATGCCATGCCTACGATGAGGTCATACCTCGCATCCAGGTCTAAGTCCAAACAGCGTTCCATGCTGTTAAAGTCCAAGAACTTTACATTTAAGTCCGTCGGGACTTTGAATACCGTAACACGCGTAACAGTTGCTAATTGAACTGTGGCTCTAAGCGCTTCAACATACTCCTGACTACCTTACACGGTGGCATGGCGCACATAATTGCCCGATGTCCCCGAATCGATCAAAATAATCCATGGCTTTTCATAGCCCTTAATCGTCCTTCGACGACTAGCAAGCCTGGCTTGCATTCTCGTTCCGTTTTTGAGAGCTCGGATCTCTTTGGGGCTGGGCCCTGCTTACTTCTACCTTCCATTCTAGTATTTAATGTAAATTTAATGCATCATCCTAGAGGCTCAACAGAACTCAGTTATTTCCCAGAGGGCGCCCTGCGCCTACTGGGTTCCGCCTTTTCCCCGCGGCACACCAGAAGGTTTACCCATGGGGCGTTGGCCCTTCGAGGCCATATATGCGTTTCTTGCAGGGCATTTTGCCATCAAATGGCCTGTACTCTTGCAGATATAACATCTGCGCACAATTTGCTGCTTCGCAGCTTGAAGCTCAGCTTCTTCATCCTCCACTTGACTACAGTCCATGGGAACAGATCCATTAGACGAGTAGTTATAAGTGGCAGGCCTAGCGGCCTTAAAGTTGGTCTCGGCATTCCATGCCACTCCAACAGCTTCCTCGAATGAGGACGGGTTTACCCGGAAGACTTCCGTTCTGGTAACGCCAACTCGGAGGCCCTCTATGAAGACCGTGATGGTCACTGCCTCAGGCATAGAGTCTATGACCATGGCAGCGATGAGAGTTCTCAAATCTTGTACATATGCCGCAATCTCACGCTTGCCTTGGCGCACGCCAAAAACCGCAACCGGTTACGGTGTGCTTGGTTTGGCGGTGCATACTGCCGGGTCATCTGAACTTTCTGATCGGCTCATGTGGGAATAGCATCTTGCATTGATGCACCACATGTGAATGCCCACTGTTTGGCTAAGCCACCTAACTTGCCCGTGGCAAAGCCCACACGGTACGGTTCATAGGTGATGCCGGCTATAAACATAGCCGACTCAATTTGTCGGAACCAAAGCATAAGGTTGCCACCTTCTTTGCCGTCGAACTTATCGACTTCCATTTGTATGGGTTTTGGTCTGCGGACCACTTCTTACGCCATAGTCGCCATGGGCGAAGGCGCAGAAGAATGCATCTGTGCCTTTACATGCTCGACCAGAGCTTTATTATATTCTTCAAGCATATGAATACGCTTGTTAACCTCTTCTTCGCCCTGGGCGATGAGGCACTCCACGCCCTTAGGGCCAAGGATAGGGAGCAGCTTCTGCAACCCTTCCTGTAGTGCCTGTGACAGGCCAACCGCTGACATCTCATCGATGTCCATTCTCACACAGAAAAGTAGTCACAAACCCAGGTGCGGGATTGACTACAAGTGCTACCATGTGTAGCCGAGCTACTGTAGCTACGCTACTTATGCACTATGTGCAGAGGAAGACAAGCTCAGAGAGCTTCTACGTCTTAGCGTGCTTAACTCTTGTTAGGCTAGCTCGTAAGATTATGTCGATTGGTTGTCGCAACCGGGTCTCAGAGAGACTAGTATCAATGATGCAATTCCTATACGAATTAATTAGCTCAAGCAGTGATGCTTATAGAGCAGGTTTGAAACTGATTATATAAGTTTATCTTCTAACACTAAATATAGAAGCACCTCCTTTATACTAAGTGCTAGTCACTATTTACTGGCTCTATAGACTGTTATGATTATGCAAACATGCATAGTCACTATACTTTAAATAAGCATAGTGACCACGTGGCTCTCCGGCAACGATGCGACCCTTCGTAATTCAGGTACACTCTTGTACCGCCATGTGGCAGGTGTGCACACCTTCGTGTAACCCCGTTACATCGGACTGTCTGTTTATATTGCATTAATCATCTTGATGTTTACGTCATCAATCCTTCCGCCAGTATATACCGTATAACAATAGAATCATAGTGTCACTTCTTTACTATTATGACCTTAGTAAACATTGGCGTGTGGCTACTACGCTTGTATCTGAATTTGCTACTCTTCATTCCTCGCGTGTTGTAAGTCCACTCTTCTCCTTGTCTCATACACTAAGAACCATTTATCGTCTGTTTATGTCTGCTCTTCTGACTGCCATTCAATCGTCTTGTTTTATCCAGTCTTGAGCTCAATTTGGCGTGGAATCCTTTCGTCATTCTAGCTACAATAGCTCTCAAACGCATCAATTCTACATTCAAGACAGTCACCGATACAATGGTGAAAAGTAACGAAATGCGCTGGCTACATCCTGGAGAGCGTAATGGAGAGCGCGTCGCTATTGTGAGCTATCCTCGTTGCGGTAACTCGCTCATGCGTGGACTACTGGAGAAGGTCACGGGCGTCTACACAGGATGTGACACTCGTCCAGATCGCTCGCTTAGCAAGGAGCTACATCAGTATGGTATGAAGGGTGAAGGCATTGTGGACGATTCAGTCTGGTTCGTTAAGACGCACTTCCCAGAGCGCATTGGCTACAAGGAGTTCTCCGTGAAGAAAGCCATCCTTGTCGTGCGTAACCCGTGGGATGCCATCGACTCGTACTTCAACATGATACTTACAAATTCACATAACAAGAGCCTACACGAGTCACAGTATAAACGCTTTGCGGACCGCTGGGACGGTCTGCTTCGCAACGAGATCGACGTCTGGATGAAGTTCCATCGGTATTGGACCACTAAGGTCGACATTCCTATCATTGTTGTCCGATACGAAGACCTCATAATGCATCGTGAAGAGACACTGCGTCGTGTGTTCATGTTTTTGACAGACTTGACGACGCTGGAAGGCACGGAATGGGAAAATCGTATTCATGACGCCATGTTTACTAGCGGTGACAAGGCTGGACCGTACAAGCCTCGTAGCGGGAAGATCGGTGCTTCATTTCGTCACTATTCGGAAGAGCAGTTCCAGTACATTTTGAAGACGGCATATCTGCCACTGCGTGGATTTGGTTACGACCCGGGGACGCAGAATTTTCCTAACAAAATTTTGCTTCCGAAGCGACAAGTGAAACCGGGCAAGGAAGGCGCAACGTTGCTCATCTCAACCGACCAAGAGATGGAGATTCGCAAGAAGAATGATTCGTACGGACGCAGCTCGACATACTTCCGCCGAGCGCTCACTGAGCCTGTCATTGCAGATGATGGCACGGAGCTGAACATGGACGAGGTGCAAGCCGCAAGGAAACGATTGCTAGTGAAGACAGATGAGATCAATGAATGATGAAGCCGAATCGATAAAGAAGCTTCAGGAGCTGACCTTGAAGGATGCAAATGTAATAATGTAGATTAGTAGCATAGATTGTAGAACAGCTTCAAAGTGGAGCGTATCGAATATGTATCGCGAATTACGACGACGACAACTATGTAGAAGAGCGAGCTACGTCTCCGATAAAGAAACCAGGTTGTACTGCTGCTTGACCGAGCTAGATGCTACGATGTTGCAATAGGCTTAAGCGCACCTTCAATACGCCGGATTGTCGATTGCAGCTTTAGCTTGAAAGCAGCATCTTTGCACTCGACTTCCTGCGAGGAATGATCAACGACGGCATCGACGCCACTCGGTGTTCGCACATGAATCTTGTTTGTCTCAAAATCCAAATCAACGTCGCCATATTGGTCTTTCAGAAGGCGGAACACAATCAGCAAGTTCAATGCATCTTGATCAGCTTCGCCTAATTCTTGTGCAGCCTTCTCCAGTTCTGCCTCGATCTCCTTCTTGACAGGCTGCTCCAGTCCAGAGTCGTCAGTACAACCCGTGTCCTCCACAATAGAAGCTTCTGCTTCTGCTTTTTCAGCTTTCACGCGGCTATCCTTGCCATTTACAGCTTCATTACAACAGTCGTTCTTCTTTGAGTGATCATGTGGGCACGCGGCTATAGGCTGGTGACTAAGCTTGAAGCTGGCTGGGCTTGCCTGCGCATGCATAGCGAGCGCAACCACCGAGTCTGCAATCATGTCGGCAGTCGGCGCAGAAGTCCATTCCACAGTGAGTTTCTCGGTGGCACCCTTAGCAACAGCGCATCGTGTCACGACCACCTGCTTGCACACCACAACACGGTTTTCATTTTCCAGATGCACAACGTCCTCGTACATCTGACGAAGAAAGGTGACCAGGACGTCGAACGAGTTGTACTCAAATGGCACGTGCTGCGTCTGCGTGATGCTACCAGAAATGAGTTTCGTATATGTTGAAAGATCCGCCTTGTCCATCAAGTGCGTCTGAGAATCAACCTCTACCAGGAGACCGGATATCAAATTGCCATTCTTCGGCTGATCGCTCGCCAAGCATCCAATAGCCTTGGCAATTTTCTCACCTTTGAACTCTAGCACAATCTCCTGCATATTGGCTGGAGTAGATATGTTTGGGTGGTAAATTTTGGGATCGTTAAACTTCTTGTTCAGTGCCGACTTCAGACGCATCATCTCATTCTTCTCACCGTGAACTAGCACAATATTCGGTGGTGTAAGCTTTTCCACAAAGCCACTCGTACCCACAAAGTCTGCGTGGGCCGAGAATGAAATGTATTCCACTGTACAGTTCATGGGAATGATGCGTCCATCTAATGCTGCAATTTCCGTCGGCTCCGAGAGAATCTTCTTTGCAAGCGTGCCCTCAACGACATAACCAGGAATTAAACAAGCATTGCGCTTGTCCGAACACCAACGCTCAAAGAGTTGTCGCGATACACCGCTTTGCAGCATACCAGGACTAGCCATCACTACGCACGGGCCAGAGTCGTCAAAATCTTCCATGCTTTTCAGGTTCGAGATATGCTCAAACTGAAACGGGTTTGAGATAGCAATCTGCTTGCGAATACGGTCATTCATCATATTGATGTACGTCTGGTACACACGCAGCGCTTTGGCAGCAAGTTTGGATGCAAAATAGATCGGAATATCTTGCAAGTCCGGATGCAAGCGCCAGTGTTCGTCAAGAATTAGCAGCAATTCCTGCGTGCGTCCAAGTGCAAACACAGGAATCAAGCAACGTCCACCACGACGTACCACAGCTTCAACCTGTCCCGTAAAACGTCCCTCACGTTCCACAACTGACTGGTGCACTTGTACACCATAGGTTGACTCAACAATCAGCACATCTGGAGAGCATGCTGGTAGCTCTGCTGCCATGAGATGACGATCATTTTCAAGTGAGTAATCTCCCGTGTACAGTACTTTGACTCCACCAATCTCAATCAAATACATACACGCGCCTAGCACGTGACCAGCATTATAGGGCGTAAACTTAATACCATTGTGCATCATTTCTTGATGAAAATCAATAATCTCGACCTTAGACACACAATTATTCAAGTCTTTATCATCATAAATCTGATCGTCCACTGAAATATTCGACACGCGTAAAAAGTCACGTAACATCATTTGCATCACGGCTTTCGTAGGGTGCGTCATGAATACACGACCCTTAAAGTTTGTCTTTTCTGTAAAATGTGGTAAAGCTGCTACGTGATCAATATGGAAATGTGTGATAAGCAATAGATCAATTTCTTCGGCCTCCACGCCATCAAAGAACGGCAGACTACCATGCCCCGAGTAGCCTGGATGGACACCACAGTCAAGCATGATCGTCTTGCCTTTAAACTTGAGCACAAGGCATGATCGACCGACCTCATTTCCTGCGCCCAGTGGCATTATGCGCATAATATGACGCTCATCCGCGGCCTCTTCAGTCAATCGACGCTTTGACATGGTTATATGAGTTTTTCCGTTCTGAGGGTCGAGATGTCACTATACCAAGGTGTCATTCTTTGCAGCAAATGGTCTTTTTTTACAACGTTGGGCCACCATGTTGAAGTTTTGCTCTTTTATTTGCTTTCAGAATAGTTACAGAGTGATGGTCACACTGCCACCAGAGAAGCGACAAAACTGACCAATCCACGAACAGAAAATAATGAAGATACCCAGTGCGGTTACAGGATGCCGCGCCCACAAGCGCGCGTTAGAGGACGACGATGAGCATCACACGTCACGATATACTACTTTTGGCAACGAGAATGAATGTCAACGGCTTTTGGACGTACAGGTGGGGTTGTCTATGGATGCAGGCAGTCTACCAGGTCTTCAAGGTGCGAGTGGAAAACGTAGACACGGTATGGAGGCCGTAAAGAGCCGCCGTTTGAATGTGGATACGAATGAGTCACGTGAAGAGATTGGCATACAACTATCGGCACAATTGGACTCTATATCACCGGCATTACGAGTGTCTACGTCGGACATTGATGCAGCCAGGAGTCCATCACATACCGGTCATACGGTATCCTTAATCAGTTCGTTGGAGATGAAGAAGGAAACAGATGAGCAAGAGAGATGTAAGTTGACGCATGGGGAAGCTCGTAGTCCTAGCAGACCGATGATCCCAATGCCATTAGGGACGAGAGGACTCGTCCTGGAGAACAAGACGAGTCCACTTGTCTATCGGAGAAAATTAGATGAAGAAGCTGCTGGAAGAAGAGGTGAGACAGACACGTTACTGGCAGAAAATCAAGAACAGAAAAGGCTGTTCTTACATGGAAAAAGGATGGAAGACCATGTGCTTGGAGCTCGTGGACTACCGACGGTATGAATTGAGTTGTAGAAAGAGAAAATTTTGATATTATTTTTGTCATTTGACATGTGCTTTTGCGGCAGATTTCACACCTATTGGAAGCACATGGACAAGAAAGTAGCATGAAACTAGAGGTAGCATCGTTGAATACTCCATGTCAAGTTTCCACCGTTGCGTCCACTACTGTAAGCAAAAAAGCTAGCGAGGGGGAAATCGAAGTCGGCAGTTTAATCTGATACGGATTGTTTTGCTACTATGACTACAGATGTCTTCCTTCAAGCAAGGGACAACGACGAAACCATATCCATCCTATGCACGACGCGACCTTGAGACGGCAAAAAGGGTCAGAACACCAGTGTCAAGTTTGGCTGAAATACTGAATGTGTCCAATGCCCCACTGCCATCATTTGGTACAGGTGACGTATCGAGCGACGAAGAGCTCATTGGTATTCCGGGCGCAGACGTCGTTGACTTGGAAGTTTCTCTTTCGCAGGATAAACTAGAGGAACTTTCTGTTACGGAAACCAGTTTGGACGACGAAACGATTGTGTTGACTCTTTGCGATGGACTTGCCAATAGCTTGACGAAAGGCGAGCGCGATCAAATGGAGCGCGACAATGTGTTCACGATAGCGTTGGCCAAGCAACATAGTCCTATTGTTTTTGGACGCGAGCAGTTTCAGAATGTGTTTGGCGACAATATTCGTGGCGTATCACTTTCCCTTCTAAGTCGACGACATTGCCTTGTACACGTTGAAAATGAGCTGTCGCGAGATAGTGCTACAAGTAGAGTGAAGGTGCAAATTGAGAATACGAGCACTAATGGAAGCTGGGTGAATGGAATGCAGCTCAAAAATGGTGAAACATATGAATTGGAGCTTGGTGATATGATCACATTGTTAAGGATTCACCGAGACGAGGTACGTCTTAACCTTAGCTTTTGTATCTAGAATACTCTTTTGGCGGTAAGCTAACGATCGTCGCGTTAAATTAGAATGACGTATCACTCGAGTACAAGCTGGTTCGATCTGGCCCATCACTTGACCGAAGCACCACGAACACAGACAAGATGGTCAGGCGCAGTGATAAGTTATTAGGTGAGTGAGCAGATTTGAGCAAGCGTTGTGGTTTGCTGACGCTACAAGAGCTGAGCTCGGCATATTTCTTCACGCAAAAGAAAGACCGAGATAGCAGCGGTAGTTACCTCCTTTTTTCTTTTTAAGCTCTACGCGCTGCTTTCATTAGGGACCTCTATCTTCTGGGATGGCATGTAAATTTATTCAACGCATTTTTGCATCGAGAGAGAGCGCTGCTTGCTGGCCTGCTAAGAGGATATCGATTGAGAAGAGTTACATTTTGGCGAAATTTGTGACACTAAACGACTGCTGCCCATCATGCGGCCGTCGGATTAAATTACGCAATGTTGCCTAGTTTAGAGCATCACAACACTCAAGTGGTTCTGCTCAAATCGGTTCTATTGTTACAGAAGCCATAGCGACCAACATGATGTAATGGTCGTGTTGACTCGTGACCATTCTCGTCTTAGCACACATTTGTTGAAGTGATGCAGCAGTCAAGCAGGTTTTGTTACCTTGTATTGTCTTACCCATGCGCGTCAGAAGTGTTGTACCTACCGCGTTGTTGGCGATGGAGGTCAAGCTGCGTTGGAACAAAAGGTCCGAGTTTTTTTGCAGTCACGACAGGAATCGTCGATGCTGTTCATATTGCAATACATTTCGAACAAGGAGGGCTACCAAAATGGAGTGCATTATTTTGTCGTGGACGAAACGCTTGAGCACATACAGAGTGTCACAACGCTACACTGTTGGACTGGAAGGAACTAATAGTTGCGGGCGATGTACCTTGGGACGGATCCTGCTAGCTACGACGGCTGGTGTGGACAGCTGCGACGTCGTACATCCAGCACTTAAGGTGCTTGATACTATTCAAGCTTTTGCTGGAGTTCAGGTGCAATTGTCAGTATCTTCAGCGCCATACAGATCGATGTGCGAAACGTTTTGTGTGATCATTGCAGATCCTGATTGCATTGACCGTACAGGTGCAGATCGACACCAAGGCCGACGAGCTATACCCCCGGAGCAAGCAATTTGTATCGTGTAGCTTGGGAATTGGATCGTGCAAAGCTACTTTTTGAAAACCAAGAGGCCATTGACATGACGTCAGTTTGGGTAGTATACGTCCAAGATGTCAATCTTGTAGCTAAATAGCTGACTTTACGTGGCACATAGCTCGGAGATGCAAGTAACGTTTCCGTCCAAGCCTTCTCTTTGCTTGTCTGCTCAAAAGCGTGTCTTGTCGATTTGTAACAAGATGAGGTAGAAGGTACCACTAACATTTCCAACTTTGCATCAGGAACTTTTCCTGCTGCTTATTCACTTCATCAAAGTCAAGAAACAGATACAGCCAGGATTCGTCTCGTTGTCACTTTATTCTTCTCTTCTTATGGTTTCATATATATTTCACAGCTAATTCTTCTCTTGTGTTTGTTGTCTTTCCTCTCAAGAGACTTAAGATTACCGTCGTATTTTCAACCTCTTGTTTATAGTTCTCTTAGCTGAAAGGTCCCTCAAACGTAACAAGAAGACGCAATATCTCCATACAAGAACAAAATGTCAAACATCGCACTAATTGAAAAAAAGTGTATTACTAGTTTTCAATGTCTCTCTATCTCCCCCCCTCCCTCACTCTCTCTTCTCTCTCTCTCTCTCACTATCGCGTTTAGTTCTTCTTCGTACGCATACGCATTGCTTTCTTTCGCTTACGATGCTTGTGTTTGTTCATTTTCTTTCGCCGTTTCTTCACCACACTATCCGCCAAATACCCATCCATTTGACGTAATAGTTCTTCGACATTACGGGGGCTGTCTGAATCACACAGCGGTAGACTATCCTGCAAAGTACTGAGCATACCCGATGTATCCCATACATCTTGTGAACATACTAATGTCCCTTCTTCCGCATCAGCAACCTCCTGCTCGTTTTGTAATGGAAAAGAACCCACTTTCCATAAATGCGACGGGTCTGCTCGTGGGTATTTATCCTGCCATAACGATGGATCATCAGGCATTGGAAACGACGGTGTTTGGAAGAAAATATCCGGTGCACGCGTCGACATGAATGCACGAAACTGCAACGAGCGTCGAGAGGCGCTTAGTACACAGCGCATGGTGGTACGCAGCCCAGACATTTCTTACGTGGTGGTGTTTCGTACTGAGACTTTTTAGATGAAGAAGATGAGAGGTGGTTGATACTGGATGGGTGAAATATACAGATATGGGGTTTTATAGTAGGAAAGATCTTGCTAATAATAGGTATTCAAGGTATATGAAATAGTACAGGTTATTAGTAATGTTTTTATATCGATTGATTAAAGCTGGACGCTAAAATATAGTACGTTAAAACCTAAACAACGGTAATCGAAAACCAGCACCTCAGGCTTTCGTAGCAATGACGAAGGCGTTCAATCACACGATCAATTAAGTTGGCCACAATATGGTTGCAATATTCATGACTCGTCGGACGTGGCAAACAAACTTGTACTTTATTCGTTCACCTTGGCATTCTCAAAAATAGACGAACGAAACGATTTTGAGCGGGTAGTCACTTGCTTCGTACCCAACCTTTTTGTCGTTGCCTGGCAGTTTATTGGTTATGTTGTCTTGGTCCTGCTTGAGCGTCACTTTGCCTACATGAGGGTCCGAAAATGCAACAATTCGCTCTTGACTCGGCGAAATTGGTCTAGCAATGTCTGTGTTTCACTGTTCTCGTCTGAACATAGTTGATGAATATAGAGCAACGTCAATTTTGTGAAAGCTAGAGACCAAATGTGGATAGACAACAATAACGTACCTTGTGATGTGGCACGTAGATCAGTTATAAAGCCATCACAAAGGTCGACAATAGTTGGACAGCAGGCAGCAAACTCCGCTAGCTGGTCCTTGCCGGCGCGTGGAGAAACGGCGTGCTTCTTCCAGATAGTAATAATGGCCAGCATAGACTGCAGCAAGTGCAGTGTCCAACCCTCGCGGTAAAGCCGCTCAGGCTGCTCGCGGTACAGCTGCTCATAATAACTCAGGAGCACTCGGTGCGCTACGCCCACGTCTAAAAACAACTTGAGCACCCAGTTGAAGGTTGTAGCGTCAATAGCCGAGGCTGAGGCGATGTTGCCAGCAAAGGCACCAACACCCGTTGATCGAATATACCAGAGCGATATCCACTCTAATAAATCGGCTAGAAACCCAACAGGAAATACAAAGTCACTGGTATCAGTAGCAGAGCCGCTGTGCTTATCGTCACCTTCAAAGTAGAGCGACTTGCCCAGACGCAAAATTTTGCACTGCATCTGGCCAATCCAATTTCCGCTCTCAAAAGAAGAACCCCCGCTTCCAGTACTTGGCGTAGCAAGCAGTCCAGCCTTCTCACATTGGTCTAACCGCCATGCGTTGAATGCAGCACTATTAGAAGATTGAGGTAGCAGGCTAAAAATGACCTTTCGCCAAAGCGTCGTGATCACATCCGCCTCCTCCGACTTGCAAACATGAATTATATATAAGCACTCAGCCCACATATCATACTTAGAAGCAAATCGGTTGTATAATGTAGACGCGTCGAACAGCTTGTAGGTGAGAAGCTGTACATCCTTCTTCCGTTCACGCAACGAATCGGTCATGGTCGAGGAAGACATCTCTAACTCAATCACCTTTTGCTCAAGAGCCTTCAAAACACGCACCTGCAACTGCAACACATCCAGCACGTCGCGCACTTCTCGAATGGCATCTGAGGCTTCACCCACATCCTCCAAGCTCTTCAGGCAAGTCAGAGACTTTGACACATAATATTGACGCTTGACAATATCCGGATTGTTAGAGACCACTAAGGCGGAAGAAGTGGCGTAGTCGTCGCCATCCATGGTGTCCTCATGGGCACGCGCCCACCACACTTTTGCCGCCATAAGATACTTGTGCTGGTCCATGTAAAGCTTTACAAGCAGATCTTGGTCTTTCTCTTTCAAAAACTCTTCAATGTACGGAGAGCGGATGGAAGTCAGCAAGTGGGAGTGACCACGCTCGTACAGCCACGTGTACAGCAGGTTATGAAAACTCTCATCTTCAGACGCTAGCGCAAAGTGGAACAACTCTTCCACGTGCTTATTCCGCGTATCGTCATCGAGTGTCACCATTTCTTCGACAGCTTGCGGACTAGCCCCGTTCGCCACAGCGCGTGCTGAGCTATTCTTTTCTCCACCCAAAAGCCGATGTAGCGCCAGCAAAATACAACCAAAGCATCGGCGTTTCCATATCTGTTTTACACCGCTCAGATCAGAAGCGGCTGCGTCATGGAAGTGCTTGGCGCATGCCAGCGACAGCTTCACGACACCTTCGTAGAAATTTAGCAGTGTGTAATCTTCGCAGATGCATTGTAAAACGTCCAGGCAGTCCTCTGTATCCCACATGTGGCACGACTTCAGGAACTGGTCAAGCGACTCCTTCAAAAAGTTATCGCGAGCAGCAGGGGAACCGCTGAGCTTGGCGTTGGACAGACTTCGATACCCTTGGTAGTGCCATAGGTCTGATACAGAGAAGAACGTGGGGCACTGCTCGCGTAACTGTTTGATTAAAAACTGATTATTCTCGTTACTTCCACGCATTAACGCCTTTGTCATTGTCTTGGCGGCTGACACGCCATCCGTCGTCGTCACCAAGTCACTGAAGCTGAGACGAGCGAGAGGTTCTTCCAGTGACACCTTGTATTCCTGTGCAATCCGCAGCAGTGATATAGCTTCAATACTGCGCAGCACTAACTGGTAGAGGTAGTACATCGAGCGCTGTTCGGCTCTAAAGCGCGTCTCGTGCTTCAGTTGATCTTCACTAAGCGATTGCTGGTGGCGCAACACCAACTCAGCCACACGCGATAACCCAGCTTCAGCAGATTCCCCTAGAATGCCATCCAAACTAGGATTGTTCTCAAGTGCAGCACCGCCGCTAATGGACACGGCAAACGGACCGGCAGATTCCATTAATTGTCGTAGTTGAAACAAAATCTCACGGATTTCATCCAGCTTCTGAGGGGAATGGATATTCTCAAAGCTGGTTACGTATCCAGGTGCCTTATCCGATGGCTTAACGTCATTATGAGCATTAGCAGACACGCGAGTAACCACACGTCGACCAAGTGTCTTCGTTGTCCAGAGCGGTCGCAGGACACGACATGCAAAAGCAACAAGACCGTCATGTTGGTATGACATGCCAAATTCTGTGGTAAGTACGATTCGCGTACTGCCCGCTGAACTAAACGAGCCATTGGCTGTAGATGTACCTGCTGGCTCGATAGGCACGTTGTCAGGGGGACCCTGAGCAATTTCAAAAATACACTGTACTGCGGCCGTGTAAATATACTCGTCACTCTTCATCGTTGTCATTCCGCCCCGATTGGGGGCAACCAGCGAAGCCGCTGTGGAGGTCTCACTGACCAGAGGATCCGTTGGAACACCACATGCCAGCGCAATCAGCATACAGACCACTTGAATCTCGCCAAAACAACGAACAAAAGGAACTAGGGCAGCATTAAGCTCATGGCCTCGCGAGAGAAGAAGTACACGGTGCAGCTGATCCAGTGGTCGAATCTTCTTAAAAACCTGAATGCCTGCATTTGTTAAACAAAGAAAATGTCGTGAAGGCTGGGAGTACATAAGCGCCATCTCACCAACCACTGGCACAGTTTCAATAGCTTTTCCAGTAGGAATGCCAGTGGACATTTCGTCAAACGACCGCTTGCTGCCGCTGCTCAATCCCTCTGATCTAGAACTTGACGCCGCACCAGTTTCCACCTGGGTCATCCATGCGCTATCGGGTTCCTCGCTAGAATATGGATCGAGTTCCTGAATATCCACGACTTTACCGATGCAAGTGTGCAGTGAGACAGACTCTCGGATTGCAGGTTTCCTCACCGCTAAACCACTCGATATAGGAAGGGCTGTCGTACTAATGGGGTCATGTGTGATGCCCACGAGCTGATCTTGCTGATCGCGTCGTCCTTCAATACACAAAAAAACACCCTTGCGGTAAAACGCCACGTGTACTGCGCCTGGACTCTTGCCTGGGGCATAACCTGGCTGCATGCCCTCCTTGGCATGATACGGAGGCGCGTCGCGCAATGCCATTGCTGGAGGCGGCAGTCGAATGTGGAGAATCTCGAGTCTCGATGGGCGTTTCGCCTTGCCATGAGTAGTAGATTCCGAGTACGCATACCGTCGCGAGTATGCTGTCAAATAAAATCGGATACCGTTCGAAGTCACAGCTACCAGTGTGACGACCTTCGACTCGTCCGGAGAAACAGTAGATAATGCCACAATCTTCAAAGCATTAGGCGTTCCAGCCTCTGCCGGCTGGAAAAGTCGTTCATCGGGGCACGAGACACGTGTTCGTCGATTCTCACGCGCGTATTTTGCACCATCTGCAAGGAGATTAACAGCACACACTGTCTTGCAATCGTGTCCATGAGCTGCCAAGTCAAACACACTCACTTGAGCATCATCATGTAGCATATAAAGAATATGTCGTGCCTGATCAACACACATGTCAATCACTTTGCCCGGCACATTAGCTAATCCAGCAAGAAATCTTGGTAGATACTGCGCATAACTCGTCGTATGCGCAACCTTTCGGCATGCATCAGACGATCCGACTCCAGGTACATTTGTCAATGCTGCTCCAAGTAACGAATTGCGATCGGCTGCGGCCTTTTGTTCAGGTGCGTACAAGAATTCGTACAGTGCTCCATCCGATCCTCCAAAAAAGATACGACCATTGTATGTCGTAACAATCTTACGTACAATACACTTGTCCGTACTAACACTGAGCTTTGTTCTCTGTAGTTTATACGTCATGGGTCCAATCATCTCGTCACTTGCTGTCGTCTGTTTCTCTTCCCACACAATCGCAACAAGTAGAACCTCAACTGTCGTTGCTACTACAAGTACATGACGTACTTTCGATGTAAATACACCTGTAGCTGGATAAAGTACGAGTCCAATTGAGACAATTGCTTGATCAAATTCCATTGCAATAAAACGACCACGTTGTGCATAACTCCATAGAAAAAGACGTGTATCAATTGATGTCCAGACAGAGTAAAGTTCAGGTAAGAGACCAGATAATGATAATGTCTTTGTTTCATCGAAAGTAGCAGCAATAGCAGTTGGTAGTGGAATGATTGTACCCTTTTGTGTCATTTGGGGTGTCCATTGGGATGTATAGGGCTCAAAGAAATAATTCTGAGGCTCGGATTGGGCATTAAACTGATCAAAGAGATCAGGATATGAAGTATCTTCTTGTGTTGTTTGATCTAGACGTGTTTTAATATCAATTAGACCTTTAAACACACGCTCTCCGATGTCTGAAGACGCTACAAGCTCCATGGATATGAGGTAATTGGGCGTTTGGTGACCGACCGTCCACCCCCCTCCTCTACTATAGTAGAAACAAGTGTAGTTGAATACGACATGATGATTGGAGGATACATATTAGTATATAATTATTCAATTGGATATAATGGAGCTACTATTATAACTAATAAGAGGGCTAAAGCTAACGAGAGTATGTACATGTATGATAACAAAATGAGATAGAAAAAAAGATCAATTAGTAACTATAATTCAAAAAAACGCTCAAAATAAACGCACTTTTGGGTACATTTTTTGCATTACGCGTATAAGGAACAGCTACTTAAGAAGTAAGTGCCTGATTAATTCGATATAAATGAAAACATGGATGGTTCTGGTTCTTGAAGCACACTGCGCTGGGATTGGCCTTGTGAAATGGACGAGGAAGCTACGGTTGGAGTAGTAGACGACGTATTGCTGCGATGGAGAAATCCAAACTCAATGGGTGATGTCGGTTCTGTGCTTGTCGAACTGCTGTCAAATATTACCTCATTGTGTCCGTTTGGAGTCGATATGAACCCAAACGATGAGGACTCGGTGGATTCGGCAATCGTTAATGCTTGGCCTGATGCTGGACGTACTCCCATTGGTGGTCGACCTGATGCTGTCGAACATAAAGAGGCTTCCAAGTCGTTAAGACCCATCGGTCGACCATGGCTGCTCTTTGTTAATGTGTCGTATAGCGCAGGAGCTGGCCTTACTGGTTGATGCTGAGTAGTGTTCTTTAAGCTGAGTCCAGCAAACACGTTTGTAGCAACCTCCACGGCCGGGTTTGCACCACCTGTTGAAACTTCGCCAAAGCTAGACGATGGACTAGTTGGTGCCTGACTAGCGGTAAGATGGGCAGTGGCGGCCTCGGCAGGTTGATCCTGGGCATTGTCACGAAGAAAGCTGAATCCGTATGAGTTGCCTACGTGAGCAGGCGCTGACGGCTGAGCAACCATTACGTTTCCACCATGAACTTCAGCCAATTGCGGGTTCGCGTTGGCGTTCAAAAACTGAAAGCCCGAGTCACCTTGCAGCTGTGAAATACCTAGCGGTGGGTTGTTGACAGTGCGGTCAGAATTCCCTCCAACAAATGCAAACGCCGACACAGGGTGCTTCTCCTCATCGGATGCCACAATATTTCTGCCAAGCGAAAGATCTGTACTGGCTGTACGCTGAATGAGCCGAGCCAACTCGTTAGCCTTGCGCACGAGTGTTAAGCGGAACTGCTTCACCTCCTCGTAATTTGGTGGCCGCTCCTCTCCAAAAATCACCGAGTCAATACCTTGCGTCTGGATTTTTTCCACAGTGCCGTGAAGTTGTGCAAGCTCGTTGCGACGGTCCACAGCAGACTGCCCACTATGCTCATGGCAGATGAGTTTTTTTAGTTTCGCCTCAATTTCGCTTAAGTCTTTGCTGTACCCATTCAAACGTGTCATAAATCCTTCACCACTCAAGCTTCGGGCTTTGTGAATATCCTCGGACTCGAGTTGGATATGACCCCCTTCCGCACTCCTTTCGTCTATAACGTTGCCTTCATCGATTTCTAATGGCGGAGGGACATAAGGCATCTGGAGTGTCGACGGGTTCGCGGTCTGGCCATTGTTCATAAGCTTCTTGAAGCGCAACAGCTTTGGAGTATTGGAGAGCGAACCTAAGATGGGACCCACCTCGACTAACCCCTTGTTTTCTACGTAAATGGAGTTAATACTAATCAAAGCACAGCCTGGGCAGATAGCCGGGTGCAGCTCAAGGTACCCACGCCCACCCGTGGGTAAGGGCACAAAGCGCTCAATCACCGTCATGTCAGAAATTGTACGATCCAACATCACTCCCATGGGTCCTGGTGGCACATCGATTTCCAGTATCACTTCTCTCAATGGCTCAGATTGTGTCCGTTCTGGCACATCATTTCCACTTGCGTTATATATTGATACTTTGTAAGCGTCAAATGAGTCCAGTGCCTGAGCGCCGTCATTTGCGTCCAAGCCTTGAAAAGCATCGTGAATGTGGTCAGACTTGTCGGGTTCGTCCGCTTTGTCCTCTTCTTTCTCAATCTGGTTTGGTTGCAATAGCATCGGCTGAGGAAGTGTGTCAAAGACAGTATAACAATGTTGAAATACAGGTTTGTAAGCTGCTTGGGCTTCAGCAACAGTCTTTGTCGGTTGCTGTTGTAGTTGTCCTTCCACATTAAATAACGTTGACGGCATTTTCGCGGTCGGTGACGAAGGGATGCCACCTGGGATAACGTGAGTGCTTGTAACTGCAGCAGCGGGGTTCAGGAAGCTAAAGCTAGAGGATTCTGATGCTAGTGGCGGTGCGCTTGGTACTGGCATGTTTGGCTGAGCCATGGCAACCGGTGCGTCACCATTCAAAGAGGGCGCATCTGTCAAGAAACGGAACGCTGAGTCGTCAGAGGTTGGCGGGGCTAGAGTCGGAGGCGGTGAGTCTCTTTCGCCACCGTTAACGGACAAGAAACCAAACGCCGAGTTGCTGGCAGGAGGTGTCATTGGCTCAGCAGCCATCTGAGCTGGCGTATACTCGCGCTGAGGTTGGGACATTGGTGGCACCAAAAAGTTGAACGCAGATACTTCATCGACCGCAGCAGGCAGCGGTGCACTGTTACTACGCGGCGACTTATTTGTGTCCATTACCAAGTTGTGCGGAGGTTGCTGAGATCCCACAACGGGCGACGTATGCATCAACTTGTGCACCTCCGCAGCATGTGCATCTTCTTCGGCTTCCTCCTCCTGTATCCTGCGCATCATTTCCAATGGACTCTCCTCATCTCGTGGTATAATGTCTTTGAGTAGTGTATAAACTTTGTCTGCACGTTTACGCAGCATATCTTTCCTAGCCCGACGCAAATCTTCCAATAAATCCAGTCTTCCGCCATAGTATTGTTTGTAAAACTCTGCTTCTCCACTTCCTAGTAATGCACTAAGCACAGATAAAGCTTTGGCCTTTACTTGCCATAATGGACTCTCAAATTTGTCATCCAAGAGCTCGCAAATGTACTACAACAACAATAATAATCCAACAAAAACAATATCAATAATTAATATTCAAATCAAAACAGATAGCAATTCGATATTATTAATTTATAGAGGTATACGTACATCATGATCCAGCGTATGCAAATATCGCAATAGTTTTTGTAATATTTCACGTGGTGGAAAAGACGAAGACCCAATGGATGAACAGAGATCGGATACAAGTGCATTCTCAAGGTCCGTCTGTTGATGTACAGGTTGTTGTTGCTGTTGCTGCTGTTGCTGTAATGGTGTTTTAAATCCTTGTTTCCATCGAGCTGCTTGCGATTCATAGGCCGATTCAGGTGCTGGCGGTCGCTGTCGATACATAATGGCTACAAAATGGTAAGTGTGGGTGTGTTTAAAGAATGACAAGCAAAGGGGGGATAGAGAACGCAACAATATCATTCATGCCAATCAAAGCATGGTATTCTCGAATACAGAGAGACGATTGGATGAAATAGATGACAAATGGGCTGTTCTTTTTTTTCCCGACAGTTTTTTCTGTCATTGTGTAAATAAAATGTCAAAAAAAAGCTAATGTGAAAATTACAATATGAAGTTTTAGTGAAATATCTCTTTAATATATAAACAGCTACTTTCTCTTGTTACTTAAGCAAAAAAACAAGCTGTCTCATCTATTATAATTATCCGTAGCTTCTTGCGTTCGTACAAGTCCCGCTAGACATTTCTCCTATAGAAACTACTTGATGTAGGAAAACCACACCGCACATAGCCTTGCATGTGCCCACACTAGGAACCGGTTAGTGTTTTGATGCGTATACTAGACTTGATAAATGTCGGTTAGCGCAAAAATCAAGAAGGTAATGCGTGTGCTTACGACGTGTTAGTGTCAATCACGAAGAATCCGCTAAAGCCCGAAGCGCCGTTACACGTGTATTCTTAAAAGTATTCGACTGAGTTTGATTCTAGTGGTCTGGGTTGAGAGGTGATATTAATTCGTTTCGTTTTCGTGTGGAAAATAGATAAAGAAAAAGTGGATGTGGAAGTTTGCTTGATTACGCAAAGCGCCTCGAAGGAGGGCTAGAGGCGATGGAAGAGGAGTGACCACAAGAGTTAGCCCCTAGTACATCGCCTGACTTACACAAAGGCTCCGAAAACGGCAGTGTTTTCCAAGAAACAATTACAAACTATGGTCCATTCGAAGGGAAGATGACACTCAATGATCTAAGTGGTGATAATGGCATTGAACAAGAAGGTGCATGGCGTGCACCCATGGAAATAGACAGCAGGAACGAGACCCAAGGAATGACAGGTGGTTCTGCATCACACGAAAATTCTGCAGGAAATCAGATGCGTATGGGTGGGAATGTAAAAATCTTAAAAACTAACCATACAGGACTACACCGGGGCAGAAATTTATCCCGGTCTTGGAGCAGGTTTTAGACAATGGGCCTACCTGTTCGTCGAGGTGCTTGAGGTCGCGCAGTTGTCGTCTGGTTTTGCTTGAATAGAACGCTTCAAGGTGAACAAGCTTAGTGAACATTTAGAAGGAGTGGCAGCAAATTACTTCCAGGCAAATATTACAAAATGGTTTCAAATTCACAAGAATTGTATTTCGTTTTAGACCAAATGTTTAACGTTTCCAAAGATAACCTATTACACCACCAGGCAGCACTTATTCATATAGGAAACCACTGCAATGTCCTTAACCTAGAATTTATTTCAGTCTCTTACTGAAATCACCATAGCCAAATTCCAACACTCCTTTCGAGATTACCGGGATTTCACATTCAATATGCATCCATTCCGACTTCATATCCTTATGTCCATTTGTAGCCTATATCTTTGTAAGATAATAAACCACTCGTTCCAAACCAATTTTCGTCCGAAGTTCCACAATTCTTGGCGCATGTAGAGTCTTCGTCAACAAATCTGCAATCATCTCTTCGCCACATGCTCTGGTTCAACAATTCCTTTTTGGCAAAGTCCTTCAAACTTCAACTTGACATGCTATGCACTGGCTGCACTCGCTTCATTCTTCAATTGCTTGATAGACGCCTGGTTATCAATCTGTAAATCAATTGGCGTCCTTGATTGCACTCCATTTTCTTCAAAAAGCTCCTTCAAGCCTAGAGCCTCTCTTCCTCCAACTGCGGCTGCCACAAACTCCGGTTCGCTTCTGTGCCCTGTTTCTTACAATTCCAACCTGCAATTATCCCATATACAAATAATACATTTGCGCTGACACTCTTTCGATCTTTGCGGTCAGTAGCAACATCCGCATCACTGTAACTGATAATTAGCAAAGGCAGTCGCACTTCATCATGCCATAATTAAGATCACTTTTCATATTATTTATTAATATCACTGTGGAAAACGTGACGAAATGATCTTTGCCAAAAACCGTTTCTCATCACGAGCCACAAGCCTCGCCTTGTAACGCTCGATAGTTCCATCACCTTTCAATCTTGTTTTATACACCTACTTAGTGGATAAAGATTTCTTGCGATCATTTTTTTAAACAATTTCCCATGTTTTGGGATCTCTCGGTGACTTTAATTCGGCATGTTCTGCTACCATACACCTGTCGAAATGGTTTTCTTGGTGTGCTTCAAAATAGCTCTTGGGATCAGGTACAGCGGCGACTTTACCACTATCCAAACAAATTTTTCGGAAACAGCGAATGCGAAAACTGAATTGTCATCATTAATTCCAATACTTTCAGAACCTCCTTCCACAACACACACCATTGCAAAATTTCAACACACAATGACCTTGCATCGACATCCTTTACCTCAACCTTGCAGTATACACTGAGCAATTGCTGCAACTTCTACACGTAATGGGCCTGACCACAATTGAGTCAAAAGCATGAGGAATATCAGCAACAAACTGTACCAATCGATTCCATTCGCCGCAATGCGTGAAAGCTTTGGATGCAATGGTGTGATACCTCAATACTTCTGCATCCATGTCCTAGATACCAGCACTGTCAAACTGCATTAAATACCTTTCAACTTTTGGTTTAATAGCTATTGTTTCGCTCAATTGTGCTCGGAGCACACTGCGTCGTTCTATATGGATGCAGTTCATTCTATTTCTGCATATATTGCTTTGATAACATTCCCTTTATGTCCGTGTGGCGTCTAGATACGCTCGATTATCGATAAGTTGAGCGCTTGGTCTTGACGCCTGAACTTGCTTGTTTCTCCGAGCGTGTCTATGCGTTAATGCACCGTCTTTATAACTTGTCGCGTATCCGTTCAAACTGGCCTTGCTTGTCAATCAATATTTACTACAACGTATGGTCGCACGAACCTTGCACAGCATGGTCAAGCTCATTTTCTAATGGTTTACCGTTCTTCTTATGGTTGTAACGGTTGTTTACTTGGGGTTTGTATGAGGTTGAATCACACCCTGCGACACAAAAAGCACTGGTTGGAACGACAATAATGACAGAGATATCGACGTATTTGCTACTCGTGTTGCGTGGGCTCGAAAATCTAGTGGAGGAAGAGATTCGATCAAAGCTTCAGGTGGAAACGTTAAAAATATGCAGCGTACAGGAGAACTCTTGTCCACCATATATGCAAGTAATGCAGGGCGAAGCTGCAGTGGGCAAGATCATTTTGGAGACCAGGTCTTCGGCTACCGAGGTCCAGGAGCTACGATCAGTGCAGGCGATGCTGGCGTTGCTGGCGCATAGTGATGAAATTGATACCAAGAGTGGCACTGGTGTGGATCAGATCGGGGTGGGTCTGTATTCCTGAGTATAATGCAGCGGTGTTGTCGTGGACTAACGACTGGTTGTTTTCATGTGTAGCACTTGCTGATGCAGTCGAAGTATTGGGACGCGGCTGTAAAGTTGTGGCAAGAGCATGCGGTACATCACGTAGATGATAACACAATCAAGTTCCGAGGTTCTTGTGTACGTGACGGCAAACACGCGTACAACTCGCAAACTGTGGCAGGAGAAATCGGTGCACGTGTCGTTGAAAAGTTTGGATGGAGCGTGAACTTGACGGTGTTTGATCTAGAAGTGGTCGTTGTGATCTTCTACAAGTTCATGGTGGCTGGCATCGCGCTGGCGGATCCTCACAAGATTCAGTTTCGCAACCGATTGGCAAACGAATGCCGCAACGCATTAGCAGATTCAAAGTACGTTTCCACTTTACGTCCAAGCACAGCGTACCTGATGCTTCAGCTTGCGAAGCACAACTATGGTGACACGGTTCTGGACTCAATGTGTGGAATTGGCACACTTCCAATCTGTGCTGCGGACTTTACGAATGATGGAATTTATGCTCTTGGAGGCGAGCTTGATGAGTTGCCATCGAAAAAAGCTGGCAAGAATACGAATACTCGAGCACGTCTGGTGGACATTGTACGGTGGGACAGTGCGCGGTTGCCTTTGCGTAACCACAGCATTGACAGAATCATGATTGATATGCCATTTGGTGTTCGCTGTGGTAATCAGCGTCAGAATAACAAGGTACGTTGTAGCATCCGTTTCATGTGTGATAAGTTGTCATTCTTAATAAATTTGATTCAACTCGTCTTCAATGTTCAGATGTATCCGAGAATTTTCAAGGAGCTCCTCCGTGTGTTGCATCCAAATGGTCGAGCAGGTACAGCCCCTATCTTTTTTCTAACAATGACTATATATTCTGTTCCTTGCTGCATCATTTTGAGTGCATTGCTAATGTAAAGGTTCTATTTGCTGGATATTGCAACAGTCTTGTTGGTCATATCCAAAAAACTTTTCAAAGGAGCTATTAAGGATTTGCCATTTCAGGTTGTAGCTCAACACATGGTGAATATTGGAGGTTTAGGCGGATGCATTTACATTCTGGAGCCTATCATAACCGTCTCACATCAAAAGTCCACACAGTCCAAAACTAATGACAAGTCTGTGACGTAACGTAATGGCTCGACCTCGTTCGTATCAACGTTGAAGATGGCTACATTCCGTTGCCATCACCTCTAAAATGATAAATCCAAGGATGAAAGCCGTCTCTGTTTCTCAACTGTAAGTTCTCATAGCATTCATGCGTGGAAAGCGGTTAAGGGATAGCGAGCGTATCGAGATGAATGCAAGCTTAGAAGACCCATTAACAACGATATCAAAAGCCAACTGGGCAACGTCAATACGGTGTATCTCTTGCTGCTACTAGTAAGCTCATGAAAGCTAGTCACTTGGTGAAAAAACGCTATTCAGACGCAGGTTCGGACTCTAGAGGATTGCGAGAGAAACGACAACGTGGTGGGTTTGCTAAGAATATTTGACTTGAACACGAGCTGCATCAATGGATATGTACTGTATGAGCACTAAGGTACCGCTCTTGGTATCACACGTGCAGCAAAAAGCCTAACTTTTAGCTAGTAGTTACAAGACGAAGAAGGCATTATAAAGCATCCAATGGCTGGTAGTACTGATTTGGTGGACGATGTGGACTCACGCTGACTTCATTGCATGCTGGACTTCCAAATTTTGTACAGACAGGGACAATCGAGATGCAAAAGTAAGAAGTGGACCAAGTTGAGGATAAGATAGCGCAACTTGGACCAAAATATGTCTATACGGTGAGTGAAGCGAGACTGTTCTATCCAATATTGCACAAGGTGGTTAGTGTCACAACGAAGCATGGGCTGACGGCAAGTACTGCAAAAAGGGGATTATACTCACAAGTCAGCTACAGACATGATTGCTGATAATGTAGAGGTGATTGCGGCGACACAGACGGCGCAGAAGATTGCAAGGATCTTGGTGCTCCTGTGTGCGAACGGAACAGGTACGCACAAAATCCTGCTTCTGGTTATTGGAAACGAGCGTGTGCCCTCCTTGCTTGGCCAGCTTTTTCGATATGGTAACGCAATTAAGGGGTCGACTGCTGTAGGTACCTGCAATGGAAGTGAAATAAGTGCATCGTACTATTGTCAACACGACGTTGGTGTGATAGACACACCTTTAGACATTGGTGCAAACGCGTCATTTACCGGCAGTCAATCAGCGGACTACTCGACCAGTTCTTATTGTGTCCAAACACCCTGGTGGTCGCTTATTGGAATATTAGCAAGAAATGTTACGACGGCGTTTCTTCCGTTTCGGACAGCTCGTGCAACTGGGGAATTGAGTATTCTGAGTCTGCAACAAGCAACTCCGAAAGCTATTGATGTCAGTACCAATGCTAACTCCTCGGCTCAAGTCCATCCTCTCCTTGGCTGTCATACATAATCTCAAATGACGCTACAAGATTGGTCTCTTCCAGGAACGATTGAGCTCTATAGAGACATCAGATGAAGAAAAACATCGACTAGTCCAGCGCGCGGCAAAGAAATAACCAGGTAGTGTACGGTGGGCTTTGGACGTGTACCCCACCTGCATGACGCAATGAGTCTGCTAGGTGATGCGTTGGATAGCTATTCCATCGCCACTTATTTGAAGTGCGTGGACGAAGTCCAGTTTTGGGGACAATCTTTATACAACATCATTGCCCGTGAGTATCTTCGAACAGAGTAATAATATGATGGAGCTTTGCTCTATGGTACGCAACAGAATGCTGCTGTTGCGCACTCTTGCGGATGATATGAACAAAGTAGCAAAAGATTTACATCATTGGATTGACGTCGATGATGATTCAAGTGTGCAAATGCAACAAAAATTGCTATACGATATCTAGAAACTTCTGCAAGAAGAGGAGCAACAGCAGCCGCAAGAAAGTGACGAAAATCTCACGCAGCAACAACAGATCCAGTCGCACCACAGCACTCATCAGCAGCTTTCATCGATGTCTCTGGCTTAGTACAACTTTTGAGCCAAACCAACCAGAATACATCTATCGCTTTGCTGAAGACCGAGTAGATTCAGTGATGACGAAGGATACAAAAGTGACGATGGAGCAGCAACAGAAATCCATTGAGGTAGTAGCACAGGCGCTTGCTAAGGCTGAAGAAGCGCTGGATAATTCTCATGCGGCTGAGTTTTTGGGCATAAAAGGTTTCTAGCCAAATTATGGAGAATGTATCACGAAGAGTACGAAGACTACGTCGTATACAATGTGGTAAACAATCATAGCTTGTAGCAACCACAGTGAATACTCTTACCAATGGTCATGTATGAACAATAGTATTGTATGTGCTTTAAGCACTCATGAATATTTTGATGGTAAAAATGCTCAAAGACAAAATTTGTAGTGCCAAATGTTGTGAAATTCACAAAAATACCGTATCTTATTTAAAAATTTCAATGAGGAGTATAGAAATTGACAATAGAGACATTTTGTTTCTATCGCTTCATTCATTCGCCTTTTGACTTGTTTTCTACCAATCACTATTCGTTTCAACAATCGTCACGTCCAAGCCAGTCAAAGTGTAATGACTACCTAATCATCATATATCTGTGCATTATGGTGCTTATGCGTCGCCGTGACAAACGGCGTGGTAATGAAGCTGAGGAGATTGTAGTGGCAAGTGATTCATCGATTGGTGCCAATCGGGGTGTGCGTTCGTTGGGTGGTGCACGCTCCGGCCGCTTTGCTGCTGATATGCGTGTGAGTGTAGGAGGATATGGTCGAGCTGACAAGACGTGGGGTGTGGATCACCCGTGGCACTCAACAGAAGAAGGTGATTTGTTCTCTCAATTGTGTGCAAAGGATCATATGGAGGAAGGTGCATTGGTTCATGAGCAGACGTTGGAAGAGCCTGTGCTTGGTCTTAGTCGGGCGCAGCTGAAGAAGCGCAAAACAAAGCTCAAGAAGAAAGGATTAACAGCAAAGCAAGCATCTGAGAAAGCTTTACAAGATGCTGAAGAAGCTAAGAAACGTTATGAGGAGGAACAGAAGCGACAAGAAGAGCAAATGATCAAGCAACAGGAAGCTGCCAAGAAGAAAAAGCAGGAGAAGAAAAAGGAACAGGAACAAACGGAAGTGACAGGTATTAAGCGAGAGAAACGCAAAAAGGAGAAACAAAAGAAGAAAGAGAAGAAACAAGCAGCAGTTAAGCAAGCGGAACAACAGACGTTAGAGCAGCAAATGGGGATGAAGAATCGGGAAGTACTTGCTGCTGCTTACGAGGAGAACGTTGGAAATGAAGTGACTACGCAAAGTGGATTGGTAATTCAAGATCAGTGTATTGGACAGGGTAAATTGCCATTATGTGGCGAGATGCTCACGGTCAAGTACCGTGGTCGACTTGGACGGGATGGGCTTGTGTTTGGCAAGGGAATGCTCACGATGACATTTGGCACTGACTCAGTCATTGCTGGATGGGAAGAAGGTCTTGCTACAATGCGACCCGGTGGTGTACGGATGCTAACGATTCCACCTGAGTTGGGCTATGGAGAGAAAGGCAAAGGCGACAAGATTCCGTCAAACTCGACGTTGTACTTCGAAGTAGAGCTAGTGCGAATCGGCAAACGTAAACGAGAGACCATTGGCGAAGATGATATCCCGCTGCCCAGTTCGTTCCAGCGCAAGCGCATCCAATCGAGACCTGACGACCATGAAAACGACGACGGTGATGTAAAATTGTCCAAGAGCCAACTCAAGCGACGACGTCGGAATCGCAACAAGAATCGAAGTCTGGCGATTGATAGAATTTGAAATTGAAACAACGACATTGAATGTATTAGATAGATGTATTTGCATCATTAGATAGATGGAATTGCCTCATTTACCGTTGTCAATAACTTTACGTCGGTATGATTTCTTCCCATAGGCCTTGCCAGTCAAATAGCAATGCCAGTAGCCATCAATCTCCATCAAGTCTCCAATTGGTCTAAAATCATAGCAAAGACATCTCGTGTGACGAGCTCCATTAAGCATTTCGAGTTGTATGGCAATAATGGTAGCGTCCATGGACAATAGTTCACCTTTTACTCGAGCTGATGAGACGTTATTATTAACAAGTAAGAAAACGCATTACGTCATGTCATTACTTATTGATAATTATGATTCGTATACGTATAATATCATGCAAATGTTGGCACAAGTGAACGGTTTCTCGTCCAGCGTGATGGTGATTAAGAATGATGATTTTCATGGCGAATTTACTAGTGCTTGGGATGCCTTTGTTGCTCATACGAATGCAATTGCAATGGCTTACAAGATTGACGTTGTACGCAATGTTGTTATTTCTCCTGGTCCAGGTCATCCAGCAGAAATAAAGGATTTCGGAATGTGTGCCGACGCTATTCGTTCTGCTATTGCACCAGTATTAGGCGTGTGTCTAGGACATCAGGGAATGGCACAAGTCTATGGTGGAAAAGTGATACAAGCAAAACAAGTCATGCATGGCCGTACGAGTCGTGTATTTGTGGAAGAAGAGGACACGTTGTTGTTTGCTCATGTCCCTAATGGATTTCAAGCAGTGCGATATCATTCGTTGGTCATTGACCCGCTCAACGTGCCTAAAGAACTTGACGTCATTGCTCGAACGGATGATGGAGTAATTATGGCTATACGCCATCGGGCCAAGCAGCAATTTGGCGTGCAGTTTCACCCGGAAGCGGTGTGTAGCGAGTCCGGCTACCAACTCTTTCAGAACTTTCGCGATATTACATTGGGTCATTGCACCTCAAAGTGTAAACTCCATCATAGCACTCACTCAGAGCACGATGATAACATGCAGTCTGAAGACAAGGAGAAACGTAATAAACAAGCGCCAATCTATCGTGTGTTGATTCAGCGCGCCTCGAGAAGACTTGCATCGTTAGAGTTTGCTGAGTTTGTCTTTGAGGAATTGTTTGGCAAGTCGAAGAGATCGTTCTGGCTTGATAGTAGCAACCACGATACGGTTGTAGGTACCGAAGCAGCAATCCAGTCTCGCTGCTCGATTATGGGTGACAATACTGGACCCTTGAGCTATTGTGTAGAGTATAATGCTAGTACGGTGGAGCTGCGTGTGCGTCGCTGCCCGACAAATGTTGACGACGAGTACGTGGAGATGTTACCACAGCAAAATATTCTGACTCATGTTCGAGACGTGATGCAAAAATACAAGTGTCACGACGTTACGTTTGAGGATGTTGAACTTGATCAAGAGGTACATGCTGAAGTACCTTTTGCCTTCCGCGGCGGTTTTGTGGGCTACCTTGGATATGAAGTACTGGGTAGCGAGCAACAGAACAAGGAGCAACTTAACGGTAATACTAACGAAGTACGCGGGGAGCGTGCCCCGGATGCTTCATTTCTGCTTGTTGACCGAGCACTGGTATTTGATCATCTTGAAGGTCATATCTACTCACTTTCTCTTAGCGAAGCCGACGGTGAAAGCACAAATGTGAATCAGGACTGGCATAAGAAAATGAAGAAGCAACTGAAACGACTTTGTGAAAAGTTCTGTCAAAAGGCTGACGTATGTTCACTACTATCGTCAAAAGTCACCACACGAAATGATGAAGTCATCTTCCGCCCGTCTCGAAGCCGAGCACAATACGTCGCTGACATTGAGGAGATTCAACGCTTGATTCGTGAAGGTGAGACCTACGAAGTATGTTTGACAAACACATTGTGTGCGGAGTATGCTCTGCGCGATCCATTGGCATTCTATCGTATGCTGCGTCATAAGAACCCAGCACCGTTCGCTGGGTTCTATTTAAGCAATCCAAATAATCGCTTTCAGACTCCAGTCCAGCTCAACGGGTCAGAAAGTGTCCTTGCTGCGGAGGATACTTATGCAATATGCTGTTCGTCACCCGAGCGATTTTTACGGTTGGGAGTTGATGGGTGGATGGAGTCCAAGCCTATTAAAGGGACACGCCGACGCGGTTGCGGTCCTAGCGAAGACGCCGCCATTGCCGCAGAACTTGAGAACTGTGAGAAAGATCGAGCGGAGAATATGATGATTGCTGATCTTGTGCGCAATGACTTCGGTGTCGTGGCACGTGTCGGATCGGTATACGTGCCGCGGTTGATGGGTGTAGAAACGTATGCTACTGTACACCAGCTCGTGACTACCGTTCGTGCTCAACGCAACGAGGATGCGGACATAGTGGATGTGTTGCGAGCTACTTTTCCCGGTGGGTCTATGACTGGAGCGCCCAGAAAGCGCACGATGCATATCATCCGAGAGCTTGAGCGCGCTCCACGTGGTGTGTATTCGGGAGGTCTAGGCTTCTTGTCGATTGACGGTAGCTGTGATTTGAACATTATCATCCGCACAGCAATCGTGACTCCGAACAGTGTGGCGCTTGGTGCCGGTGGTGCTATCGTGGCACTCTCAGATTGTGATGATGAGTATGATGAAATGCTGCTGAAAGCGCGAGCTCTAGTAGCTACGATTGGTGCCTACGTTACAGGCAAAGAAGACGGTTCTGGTGCTCGAGTGGTTGTAAACTCAAGTTCAGATCAGATATGCTTACCCAATGCCAACTAACTGGCGGTAGCCAAACTCAAATAGACGCATAGTATTTATCTGTTGTCTACTTTTTATGTTGTTGGGCTTCTTTGCAAGCAAGCATGGTGCCCTCAAACTATGACAGAAGGTTATGTATATGTGGTGAGGTGATAGACAAATTGTGTTGTTTTGAAAGTGAGAGTATGATTGATATCAAATTATCCTTTTGCGTTAACACGCCTAACACCTTACATTCCTATCACTTTTGCTGTGAAGCACGTATTTTGGATCAATATGACGTTGCATGTGAGCGTGTCATGTGAATTTTGATGGAGTCTGCCGTTCAGCTTAGCTCCCGTCATTGATTGGAGATTATAGAGTTCCTTTTCACATTAAGTTCGAGTAAAATCAACGCGGCGGAGGTTGCACGCCGGGCATGGTCTTGAAGAAGGGTGGTCTGCAATTATTCGGGATTTCGTCGAAAAGTTGGAGGCCCCTGTCCGTATATGGTCGTAATTGCAACAGCAGCGAGCATGAGATAAATAAGAGTTTCATCTTGGATATAGCTGTAATGGTTGAGATGATTTTGGTAACTTGCAGAATGAGAGAGCAATCATGCCCTCGAGTCTTGGAGCCTCGAGCAAAATGGAAATGACGTCTCGGCTAAACCAAATCAGGAGCAGCTTTAAGGTTTCGGATGCGGAAATTCTCTGGTGCATAGCAATTTTTTCCAGAATAACAGAAACGCATGCCCATACAACCTTGTTCTAAAACCTCAAAATCGCATGCCTGCTTACGCCCAACGACCGATGACAGGCGCATGCCATGCTGTCTTTACATCTTGCAGACAGGTCCTGAATTCATTCTGCTTTACAAAAGGCTTTGCAACCCGTTGTTTACAATTCTAACCGCTTTTGAAGCAGCGACATTTGTCATGACCTAGAAGATCTCTCGACATCGTGGATGCGCTCTTGTGCAAAACATTGTAAAATTCATGGCTTGTTCCAATATAAGGTTTTGATTGAAACGTCTTGAAACACTCGAAATATAGATTGAATCTCATTTTTGTGTGCTGGTTCTCTCACCTGACTAGATTCACTATCTTGTGTCGAATTGGCCAAAGAATGAAGAAAAGTCACGAGTGCTTTGATTTCGATCAGCTTACTGCTGCTGCAAGTGGCTCTGGTTCATCTAGTTGTCTTTGACGTGCTAGCAATAGTGTTGCTTTCAACCGGGTGGCTACGATCTCGTACGATTGTTCAGCTATCTCTTTGCTACTAGCTTAAGGCTTGAAGAGCGCTCGGATCTTATCTATGTTGCCGGTAGGAGAAAAAATGGTTTCGGTGGTGTTTAGGCACAATCCCATCTCGTCACTTCAATGAAAACAGCACCTTACTGGACAGTTCAATTTAGGTGTGTGGTCAAGTGTACCATAGCGACATACAGGCAAGCATAGACATACCACAACTCGAGACTTCAAGCAGCCTTTCTAAGCCGCTTGACAGTCGTCTTTGCCACTTGTCGATGGAAGAATACTCATCACGAATCTAAACTTTTAGCTACAAAGTCTCATCTTGATGTTGGGATAAAAAGTAGTGCGATCTAGACCTTCCGATAATAAAATAAGACTAATAAGTGGTTGCAAACCTGAGGAAAAGCATTGAGTCAAATTCAAAAGCTAAATATAATGCGGCAATCTTAAAAGCAACTGCTTGGTACAGATAATCGTATACAAGCATGCACTACGGTTCATATTACGATTCATTACAAGGCTGCACTCGCCATGTCAATCCGCGATAGTGTATGCGTGGCTTTGTCCGTAACCCGGTAACCCATCATTGTTTACGCTGCCAATTTCAAGACAAGATACTTTTTTCTGGTCAAGTACACATTTCCTTGACAGGTCAGTAGGATGAGTTTGATTTGAGGTAAGATCTTCGTCTAACAAAAAAATACGGACAAAGAGGTTCAGGGTGATAGAAAACATTAGGATAGATCTGTGCATACATCTCTCCAAAATATACATACTTTCTCAAGTCACGAAAGAGTATCCAGATTGTCTTTAGTATCTTTGGTATAAGTGAGGCCTCATTTAGTGTAGCCGAGCTACTGTAGCTACGCTACTTATGCACTATGTGCAGAGGAAGACAAGCTCAGAGAGCTTCTACGTCTTAGTGTGCTTAACCGTCCTAGGCTACCTCGTAAGTTTGTGCCCATTGGTTGTTGTAACAGTGTCTCAAAGAGACTAGTATCAAAAATACTTAACTCCTCAGGAGGAATAGTAAACTCAAACAGTAATGCTTATAGAGCAGGTTTGAAACTGTTTTATATGTATGTTTATCTTCTAGCACTAAATATAGAAGCACCTACTCTATACTTAGGGCTAGTCACTATTTACTGGCTCTTTAGCCTTTTATTATTATGCAAATATGCATAGTCACTATACTTTAAACAAGTATAGTGACCACGTGGCTCTCTGCCACGTCCGTACTTCAGGTACGTCCCTACTTTGTACCCAAGGTACAGCCACACCACATTGGTGTGGCAGGTGTGTATGTACGATACACACCTTCGTGTAAGCCCGTTACACCCTCCCCCACCAATCCGTGGGACCCGACGTACCCACGAATTTTCGCACTTAATTGGAGGCATCAATTTCATTTTCTTCTCATTTAGCTTGCCTCGGAGCAAGTGCTTGCACTTGCGTCTAAAGCTTCTGTGTTCTTAACACTTGCTCTTTGAGCACCCATGCATTGCACACACGCTTTATGAGCATCCTGGTGTTACGACACTCGCTCTTTGAGCATATAGTGCATCGCACTCACGCTAAAGCAATAAGTGTTACGACACTTGCTTATAAGCGATAAGTGCCACGTACTTAGTATTATTTATACCTTTTGTGTGTTCACGAACACTTGCTTTCACAGCACAAGGTGCCTAGAAATTGCTTTGAAGCATTACAGTGTTCACAACACTTGCTTTTACAAAGTACTTTCTCGATAGTGCTTGCTCCATCATGAATGAAGCAATGCGTCACGACATCTTTAAGGACGGTGACAGTGACGTTGCCTCTAGGGGTGGCGGAGCCGAGTCACCTTCGGGTCATGGTACCCCAAGATCATCACGCTAACCGAGCGACGGACGTCAAACCCATTCTGTGTCTTCTCCTCCAAAGGAGACAACCCCATTGCGTCAAGCGCCTCCTCTTCCCTCGCTAGAGGGTACTTACGAAGAAATCACAAACCCTCTTGACGCTGCACAGCGTCGTCAACTTGATGACGAGGCCCGAGTGGCCGCTTTGAGACGGCCCAAACAAACATTCTCACGACGTGATTATGGGTTCGTGCCCCGGGACCCTAATGAGGCAGCTCGGAGATTGCGATGCAATCTTTGCGAACCTGTGTCATTGGGTCCCAGGCCCGTACCGCTTGCGAGGTTGCGGATCGTGCCGCTCCTCGTAAGCGGCTCCTTACTCCCCAGGAGTTTACAATGAAATCGTATCAGGAGCAACTGTCACGACAGTCCGTGGGGTGCCTGTGCACCCACTAAACGACATACGAGCGGTGCTTGCACCAGGTGAAACATCTGCACAAGATGATCACCAGTTCACCCGTTGGGTAGAACGAGCATGTAAGATCTCAAGTTTGTCAAACTTGCGTTTAAACTCTAAAGCGCAAGACGCTTAGCTAGAACGTCGTCTACGTTTTAACTTCGCTAAGCTCAAAGCGAAACATTAATTACCTTCCACATACAGGTCAAAGACTTGTGAAGGACAAGCTTCTGAAGCTGTTAGCTGTACCTCTCACTCGAGTGATGTACCGACATTGGCTTCTTCTGATGGCCAGAGGCGAAGCCAGCCTACTGACCCTACTTCCACAGCACCTAGTACGAGGAAGCGTCCGACGACAGCTGTCGTCGCTTCTGACCGTCCTGGTCAAAAGTGTCAACGGCGTCAGAGCAATCCTGCGGGAGGGGTACCTCATACACTCACGAGTCGTACGACTGAGGGTAACCCCTCCACTTCACCAAATATGGGGTATGACCCTGGTGACGACGCCGAGCCAAGAGACGTTCCACGTGGAACCGTTGCTGACCCAGTTCATCAATCAGCGTCGGAGGAGGTCGATGACCCATTGAACTCTCATCTCTCTGAGATCGAGCGTCGCCTGACACTCCTGGAGCGTGATGCCCTTGCATCGGCGAGGTCTCACTTGTCATCGCTCGATGACAGTGTCGATCGACAACGTCGATCCGGTGAGCGTTATCCTCTAAGACCTCGGATCGCTTGGCGGCGGTTGAGCGTTCTCAAGCCAAACTGCGATGTCAGATCAACCTCCTGGTACGCCTTCAGCGTACATATGCAACCCCGGTACAGTACTACGCGCCTCCTTTGGCCGGGGATGTGGGGACAACCCCTCGAAGTCCACCGAGGCAGGGTCGAGATATGACTTAAGTAAGCCCACGTAGAACACAGGGTGTGTTCGCATCTTCTTCGGAAGGCTCAGCGTATAGGCTAACCCTTTCTTGCCTATGACCTTGAAAGGTCCAATAAAGCGTGGACGTAATTTGGTTTTATATACTGCCGAAACGGCACGAGTAGGTAAATCCTAGCATTTAATGAGAACTAAATCACCCACTTTGAACTCTTGATCGTTCTTCCTGCCTTTGGCATCCTTCTGAACATCCTGGCTTTCAGCCATAGCGTCTTTGACGCGACGTAATACGTCAAAACGCGTTGACATAAACGCTTCCACCTTCTTGCGCATCGCAACAGGGCTGATATCAGCCAAGCCTTCGGCTATCTCTCCCCCCACTAAGCCCCAAAGCGGCAGGGCGGGAGCGTCAACGGAACGCGAGGGTTGTCCAAACCATTCACATAGAATAGGGTGAAGCCTGTCGAGGCATGCACCGAGTTATTCAACGCAAACTCGATGAGAGGGAGCATTGTGCTCCATTGCTTGGGTGTTTCAGCACAAACACCCCAAATCATATCACCAATAACGCGATTGACGCGTTCTGTCTGGCCATCGGTCCGCGGA